TGCAGTACAGGGAAGGGGCATGCGCAGGAAGGCCGTGTGTTTCTCTCACGTAGGACACAACAAGCGATTCCCTTATGTCATATGAAACCGCATGCTGCTTATGCAGCTCGCACAGCTCGCTTCTTATCGCTTACGTAGGACATTGCCTTATAATGCCTCACTGGTCTCAATCCTTCAAGGGACCACCTGGTCTCCTCCTCTGAAGAGATTACGCGCTAATATTATAATCACTTCCTTGTTCAAGGCTTGCCCTCGCAGCTGTAATTCACAGAATTCCATTACCCAATCATAAACGAGTTTGATAACAATAATAATGACGTACGGACGTCAAAACAAGGTCCCGCCTGTTACAAAACTTATGGCACGATCCAGAACGGCACACTTACGTAGCCGTTGACAAAACAGTATTTAAAATACCGGAATTAGTACTTCTACAAACTGTTTCACACTTCGAAAACAACATAAAAACAAATTTCGTTCACAAATATTAATTAAAATCTTTCGTGTTATTTGTAGTTTGACGACGCTTGCGACAGCTTAAACTACGCGGCGTCAGATGATGGAATGATTACAAAACAACGAATTTCGAAAAGACGTATATAAAGTTTGAGGTATTGTACCAGCACTTGCCTAGAAATACAGAGGAAAACCACCGAAACACGTTCAGAACAGCCGGTCTCCAGGTCGAGATATTAACCTCAAACCTCACGAATACGACGTGGGCGTGTTAGCAACTTAGCCGCGACGTTCAGCAAAATTCCCTTGCTCATATGCAATAACCATTACAGCGCTAGAAAGAGTGGGAAGAACTGTTGGTAGTGCACATGGTGGGGGGGGGGGTTAACCGCATTTTAAGGGAGGGGGTTTTTAGGAAAATGGAAGAGATAGTGGCAATGATGGCTTATTGACAGGTGCGTGGGGTCACATCATCAGGTGGAGGTCCCCAGCTACGACGAAGGACTGTAGGGCAGTCAGGGGTACAGACAGGATGTTCTATCAGAACTGGGCTTCTCTTAACCTTGCGTACAAGAGAATAAGATGGGGAAACAAGAAATCTTCTTTATTACGCCGTCTCCTTTACACGAGGTTGGCGACATTATGGACAGGATCCTTCCATCCTTTTCTCGGACTGGGACCAGTTCATATACGTTCTTGGCAGATGATCCAGAAGTGGTTTGCCATTGCCTTCTTCTGTGTGTGAATTGAGTAATTGTTGGGATGCCACGGAGCAACCGGGGAAGCCCCGGAGGAAAACTCCGTGTTGCCTAGACCACGGCCTTGCCCAACACAAGTTATAAATTCGAGCACCGCCGGAAATCGAACCCGGAATCCCAGGATTACAAGGCCAGCGTTCTAACCGCTAGACCACGGTATAAACAAGAAATACGTATAATTCTTTCCCCATAAGCTCGTGGCGCTACAATACAAATGACAACATAATTGTGAAGACGGGCGTCTTCTGGGTTGTTGCGACGTGTGGTCCGGTAGAAGTTTAGAGGCGTTTCACAGATCCTTTCTGCCTCCATCAGCGGGGCGGTGATTCATCGCACCGATGATGGGCCCACGTATGAAACTGATCAGCAATACGTCCTCCGTTTTAGCGGCAGATCGTTACTGGGCGTGGCCTTTGCTTCACGCACACGTGGTCACCTCTACAGCAAATACGAATTGGTATCAGGTAATAAATGCGTTTCGAGTCAACAGACTAAACAGTTTTTGTGGCACCGTGTGACTGCAACCTCATCCCTTACAATTCCCATGAAGATAAAACTCGGCTAAGTTAGCAGGGGGCGCGGTTGCCTGGAAACCAATGCTTGGTTTGTAATATTTAAGTACATGTAAGCAGGCAGCCAGGCTACTTGGCGTCGGGTAGTTAAACATACGCTGTTTGCCGACTTAGTATTAATGAAGATGGCTATCACGCTACGAGACAGCCACTAGTAAGACGTCGATCGAGAGCTTCAAAGAAGCTAACAAATGCTACGAGTGTCTGTCTGTCTGTCTGTCCGTCCGTACGACCATCTGAGAGGAACGCATACAAGGACAAGCAAGGTGGACGATGATGCACTACGAGAGTTACTGGCCCAATACGACCGCGAGATGGACTTCGGTCGAGAACGACGTCAAAGTCTGCAAGACGGAAGACACGGAAATCCGGAGAAATAAACTAGGACGAATGAAGCGGAGACAAGGAAGGGAAGAAAATATAGGAAGCAGAAGAGATTAAGAAGAAAGGAGAGGCGTGAGAGAATAAGAATTATAGGACAAGATAAAATTCAAGAACAGGCGGTAAAATTGTTCAAGGGGAGAGGAAACAGACAGAATGAAAGTGTATGTAGAAGATGAAAAAGAAATGATAGATGAAGACAAATAATAGCCTCTAAAAGAGGAGGGGTTTATGTGGCATACTTCAAACACATTTTCTGACCAAGAGTTACATTGGTCTAAGACAATGGTATTCAACCTGGGGTACGCGAAGACATCTTAGGGGGTACGTGAAATTTATAAAAAAATATTATTTTATGATAAACACTGAATAATCAGTGATGTAATTTATTTAATTTATTTTAGATGTAGATTATATACTATGTATAACTCGAATTATACACTAACAACTTTGGGGGTACAGAGTTGAAGAGAAATTATATCTGGGGGTACGCGAACAAAAAAAGGTTGAATACCACTGGCCTAAATCACACATACCTTTCTGAGAAAGGGCCCACTTTTTGCATCACTTTTATTAACAGTATTGGATATTATATTCAACCTCTCGGCGTAATATATCCCGAGACGACACTAAGATATTTCACGGATATGTTTACAAAATCATGCCTATTTCCGAGTTCAAATCCCGATACCGACCATCGTCCTCTAATTGCGAGACGAAAATTCACAGGCAACGCTAAATTAACTTGAAGTACCAAGACAAACGTAAAATACATCTCTCTAGAAAGCGGCTTATGGCAGCCTACATGCCCAGAAACAAATGACAATCATAAGCAAGCTACGTAAGACAGACAGAAACCATACTTACACTAATTGCTCAAACATGTTACAATCTTAGTTTCAAGACAATTCATAGGCCAAGATTGGAATTGTAGTATTTACAGAAAGAGAGTGGACTGCATTGCTTGGTGATTAGGACACAGAATATACAGAAAAAGTACTACCTACAGGAATACGTAGTGATTTTATATAGAATTCGATATATCGACTTCGAACAATGAAAGCGGTGCAGCAAATTCCAGGGCGTGGGGAGAAAATTCCTGAATTGAAACCCAGAGCGATTGAAAAGAGCGGTAACACATTAGCGAAATGGAAGCATGAAGTTCGCAAGAGCCAAAGCAGTCATGGCTTGGGGGGTGGGGTTCAACTTGGCATTAACATACAGCGGATCTGAATCCTTGGTAGGGCTTCTTTCCCGAGAAAATACATCAGCAGTCCACTAAGGACCAGGATATCTCACGAAACATTTTAATAAAGAAATCTGTGTTGAAAGAATCAACATATAACTACTCTTAATAACTCTGTAAATGTACATGTTAAAAATGCACCTTTTTTGGAACTTTCAGTCACTACCAACACTAAACCCTACATTATCATCATAAATCTACTTTATTATGCATTATTAAAAATTATACAATATACTCGTCTCACTTTTGTCAACAATTTGCACTAACACGGAGCAGACTTATGGGACATTTCCAAAATTGCATCAGGAAAAAATTTAATATATTACTGACACTAACCAGAAGATATTCTTGAGGTATGTTATCGCATACAATTTCTAGTCTGGCATTCAAGTTAATTGAACGGCTTCCAAGACCGATAAATAACTACAGTCCGTGAGAACGTAAATACTTGTGACGTATGCAGCCTGGAAAATGGCATGATACATTACTAGCAGGCCGAAAAACGTCGCCCTTGTTCTGATGTTTATGTAAACTTTGTGTGAAATCCTTTTCCCCTAGAACTGTAGGAAGTATCATTACAAATTAAATGAATAACGATACTGCGAACAAAGGAGCAGCGGAAAGCAACCAGCAGGCCAGATAAATATCTTTGTACTAAGGATCAATGTTCTCCAACCGGGAACAGAGGGGTTAACGCATGCGCACATCACTTACCTGCCGCGCCGCCAACGCCACAGTTAACCAGTGTGACCCGACGTGGCATAGCGACCATACGAAATATTACGAAAAATGGTTAGACAATTCAGGAAATGTTGAGTCACACACACACCACCGGTTTCTGGCCTTATAAAATAAGGGAAGAGGTCCGTTGTGATAAGTTTGTTGACTGTGAAGATAAAAATCTAGATATGGGCTGCGAGTAATGACTGGGGGGAGGGGGAGGGGAGATATGGAAGTGCAGTAAACTCAAAACATGGCGATGACCGTAATAATTCTTCCCCGTTCTGGTACAACCAGTTTCGCGCCTCAACAGCTCAAGGGCTCCGTAAACAATCTGTGCCCCAATAAGATCAGAAGAAATATGTTGCGGTCCACTTTTTTTTAAAAAACATAACTTCATGTTTTCCCTGGGGGAATGGGGAGGCAGAAATTTCAGACACTATCCCTCCAGCCTATATTTGTTTCAAATACCTCTAGAATATAACCCAAACAAGAAGTACCATGCAAGTTACTGTAGAGGTTCTGACCTCATTCGAGAGGTACGCTAGTCGGATGGGTAAATTTATTGCCTTGCAGGATATATCTCGTCATCCATCTTAACTCCCGTATAGTGCATAAACGGCCGCGTCCTTCTAAATCTTCACCTACAGCCATGGTCACCGCATCTAAAACCAGAGGTCAAATGCAACATTGCCAGATACTGTCCAACAAATGACTTACGTTCCTCGTCACACGTTACGTTTTTTAAACTGTCCATTAGCTGCTGTGACACAGGCTTCGATAAGTTTACGTTATTAACGTAGTGTCTGAACTTTATTAAAACTTTAGTGCAGTGTATTTAAAGTTTAATCAGTTATATTACCTTACCTTGAAGAACGCACATTTCGGATTCGTAGATCTTGCAACAATGGGGAACCACCGTACACGTTATTTGCTGTGGCGGTGGATTAGTCGCCATTCAACATCACGTTCGCGCCTCACCTCCACAGACAAAGTAATAACCGACAAGTAATCCACAATCGTAAGTGCTGCTCCGACACAATGGTCGTACAAAAATTAAAAAGCCATTCAGTGATGCACTAGAACACAATCGACCTTCTTCCACGTTGGCGCAACTTTCGATTATATCGATACACCACTCGACCTGCACCGTCACCACACACTGGCGAGTGAATCCTGACAAGTAGTAAATGCCCCTGGCGTGGAACACGCGAACTACAGCTACAAATGCTTTAGTTGGTTGGGTAGTTACCTATTTCAAGGACAGTGGTAACGTACATGGACCACCTACTTAAACATTCAGTGTCTTTGCAAATTTCCCACAGAGCGTATTTATTCCACTGTTTTCGTAAGATTTTCGGGCAAATGTTGTAAGGGATTCGATCTATTTTCTTCTGCGGTAGGAACTAAATTTCTAAATACACACTACTTATCGTGACGACCACGTCATGAAGGTCGCCATTACATCAGAAGTCCCGGAACTACTGTCCACAGATCACGAGAAAAGCCCTGCTGAGTGAAGTCGTTTCTGGGGCGGTGCAGGGGGAATGTTTACTACCAGGTGGGCTAGAGGGCTGTTATTGGTGGGAAGTGTGATACGTCAGAGTTTTACGCTACTACACAGACTGAAAACATCAAGCAGTTAAGAGTAGCGTGTAGTAAGTTCACCTCTAATGTGTTCTGCGGGTGTTGCGATAATATTCTAGATTAAATCGCTGTGCCTCTGTGAGGTAATCTTAAAGCTGTACCCATTAGAACACATGAAAGCCTGTCGTCTGTTGTTCGTTCGGTGGTTGTGGAACGAATGCTTTTAGGATGGGTCGTCACTCACCGCGAAATCTTGCGCATGCGCGTATATCGAATTCGTAGCAGGGATTTTCTCCTGGTCTGTGGACTGTATTTACAGCACCGTGAAAAATAAACGAATCGCTGATCGTCACTGATGACTGGCTGGCATTTGAGCGACGTCATCAGATGGTCCCGAATTCGGCTCTCGGTTCGGACATGAACCTTGTATTGGTATTATTGGCCTTTCTGACTGCTAAAACAGAAACTTCGCTGCTGAAACACCAACTGATCGTGTCGGTGCTACGAACGAGATATCTCGCCCAAGTATTTTTAGTGTGCTGAACCTTCGTTTGGCATCACGAAAATGGGGAGGGTTTTTCAAATGTAATTTATGACACTCGCAAACAACCTCAGCAGTTGAGCCGAACCTGTGACACACGCATTAAGTGTGTGTACTCACTGTGACACGCACAGTTCTCCTAATTATTTCCACAGCGACGCACGACACTAGCTAACATAGTAACAGCCTTCCATAATCGAGACGGGGTGAGAATAATTCATACGCACCCTTCGTTGTTGTCTGGGGAGGAAACACGCTGTAATTAATCCCTCGCCACCAGCGTCATTTGTCTGCTTAAATATTAATTTAAAAATCGTGCTCTGCCTCGCCTTTCCTTAAGAGACCCTTTTGTTTTATTTGCGATGCAAAGTCTCTAGGATTAACTCTCAAGAGGAAGACGACTTGCACACAGGGGAATGATTCATAGACTTCAGCAGCGGGTTATTATCCTAGCATTTACCTTCAATAATGAAGAAAGTCATATATCTCCTTCAGCGTAGCAAGAGTGTGTATATACGGACGAAAGAAGAGGGAAGTTTTGAGGTTATGTTCTTTGGCTACCTACCCAGTGCAACTGTGACGATAATTTTCATGCTGTTGCGGACCAAGGGGCATAGAATGTCCAGGACTTGTACCGTACGTGACAATATGATCCATAGCGCAAAGCAGGATTAAAAGAGAAGATTTCTTCAGTAGCATTTGAGGTTTTCAAGGCGGTGAGTCTGAAGATGGCTGTCTTATAGTTTGTTGCGTAATGTAGTCTGGTAGAAGTTTACCTACTTTTCAGAGGTATTTTCTGCCTCCATCATCGGGGGTACTCATCGCCCTGATGATGGAGGTAACCATGTCGGCGAATTACAACCGGACTACACGGCCCAACAACCCAGAAGACAGCCATCTTCAAGTTTGTTAAGTCTTTTAGACAGATCTATTTCAACAATCTGATCTACAGTAAATGTTTTCCGGTGTCTATACTCATAAATTTTATTGCGTACAAACTGTTCACACTTGCTTGTAGTGAGTTACATGAAGGTGAACTTTAATGCAGTCTAATTATTCCACGTACTCAATATTAACGAGAATTACGATTATTACAATTTGTACTCTGAGGAATATTTGTTGTCCGATACGTAGCGAAATGAAATTCACCTACTATCCTCACTACACGCCTTGAAAGCGCTTCGGGGAGGAGAGATGGGATGGTTAGATGTTAGATCGCAGATGGTGCTTGACAGGCTGAGAAAGAAAGATTTCCAGGGATGCTTCCAGGCTTGGCAGCGGCGCTGGGATCGTTGTGTTCACTCCCAGGGGAACTACTTCGAGGGTGATGGATGAATTTAATACCTGAGATAAGTGTACGGGTTTTTATACGCGCAGTCTGGAAACTTTCAGGTCGCACCTCGTATACTCTTTGTTCAACGCCATATTTTATATTTTCACAGCAACATCAACAGATGCGTCCACATCAAGGAACGACGATGGATTGGTATGAGGCAGCCAGGGATTTGTGGTTGGATTCCTGGGAATAATCAGACGGCCGTCGGTCTCATGATGAACTGGACACCCGTTGCATTTACACGTTTTTGTCTATCAATTCATGCACATTGAAAGCCAAATGACACATAGACACATTCACGGAGCGACACAAAAGTTGATTCTATACCAAAGGCGTCCGTCATGAAATGTCAAGCAGTTTTATTAAATTCAGAATGTGGCGTCATATGGAAAAAACAAATGAAACATTAAACGGGGGTTGGGGATTTATCTGTATTTCTGTCACTGCGACAAGATACGAGTCACGGGGGCCCAACGAGGCTGAGTTACGTTCTGCGTGCGCACTTCGGGGCGAACGCATTTGCACGCATGATTTATACGATTCATTTATTCGGTTGTTTTATCAAAACGAGGTTGCTAACAAGCCGGATAAGATACACAATGGGCGTGTGTTGCTATGAAAACCCGAGGCTCTTTATTAAATTAAAACTCCTAAACAGAAACACGAATTTTAAATAGCGTCCGTTTTATTGTGTAGTTTACACAATTGAACGTACACACATAAGGAGAGCTATTCTTTAATTAATAGCCACGGTGGTCTAGCGGTTAGAACGCTGGCCTTGTAATCCTGGGGTCGCGGGTTCGATTCCCGGCGGTGCCCGAATTTATAACTTGTGTTGGGCAAGGCCGTGGTCTAGGCAACACGGAATTTTCCTCCGTGGCATCCCAACAATTACTCCATTCACACACAGAAGAAGGCAATGGCAAACCACTTCTGGATCATCCGCCAAGAACGTATATGAACAGGTCCCAGTCCGAGAAAAGGATGGAAGGATCCTGTTCATATGGACCTGTCGTCAGCCAGAACACTAAATAATAATAATAATAATAAATAATATGCTTTAATTACACTATCCTACTTGCTTACTTCGCCTTTATCGAGTTCTAGGATAAGAATGAAATAAGCACGTAGTACCAAATAAAGATCTAAGAGGATCTTGCGGAAATGAGACGGACATGGGTTGGATTAAGCTGGCTCCGGATATGGAACGATGGCTGGTTCTTGTCAATACGGTAATGAGTGTGATGGTTCCATAAAAGGCGGGAAATATAACTAGCTGATAATCAGATTTATAGAAGGGGTCTGATACATGGAGTTGGTTGTTAAACAAAAGTTTGTGCTATACTGTCGCTTTACGTGTTACGTAATTACAGATACCGATATTGTATCCTTGGCGTCTTAAATTCCAGCTGAAGAGACATTATCAAAATTTCAATAAATTTCCTAACGTGTGAAATCAAAGTTGCGAACTTTTTCTGTCCCTTAGTGCCTTTGGCGATGGTGTCTTCGTTTTCCGCTTCATCCATCGTGCTTTGAATATTTTTTGAAGGAATTAACCATGCCGACATTCTCCGTTGGATTCGGCATTACCCGAAAACAGTTCGGTCTAACGGATCCGAGTAGATGTCACCCCTTTTCACCTGAAGACGAACGAAAATCCAAACTTCAACGCGCGGTGGCTCGACATTTAAAAAATTTGGCCAAGTCCAAAACAAAGAACACGTAAAGTTTCGCGGTCTAAACTTATCGAAACTGTGGGGGGGGGGGGGGGGGAGAGAGAGAGGAGGAGGTGGAATTGTACTCTATAAAGGGGCCTGGATTGGGCTGAGAATTTTATCTTTATCTACGTTCAATATATGGATTTTGTGGCTTAACCTGGCCGGCTTTACTTTGTTGTGAGCTCTCCGCGACGCATTGTCATTAAACTGACAATTTTGCCCTGCGGATCCTCTTCAACACACCCTCGCCGTTCGCGGGTCTATGTTCAAGAAAACCCCCACGAACAGGAAATCTCGATGCGAGGGCTAAGGACCTTGCGGGTAAACTTAGTTCCAAGGCCCACAAATTTACGACATTGAAACTAAATATGTATAATTAATGATTAATAAACATGAAACCATCGGTGTTAATGTCTATCGGCATGACGAAGGCGTTACTACCTATCTAAAAACTGCGAAAAATACAGTCGAATTACACTCGTTGGGGCACGATATCAACGTAGCTACTAAGACAGGAGAACAGATGCAAAGTTTTGCGTATTATTCAGTGCGTTTGCGCACGAGTGACAGCGAATTATATATGCAATATATATAATTCTATACTTTATAAAAGAGACACTGAAGTTAATACATTCAATGGCAGCGCCTATCACCCACTAACACAACAGTGACACAAAATTCGCTACACACCTGTGACAACTGCAGTTCTGCGGCAGAGACATCACGTGACTTGCAGTGAAATATTCTGGGTTCATTACCCGGGCACTGCATTTCTGAGGGCTGTAGTTGCAACCACTTACCTGCAACATACAAACAAACACACGAACACGTTAAACTTGTAATAATCTGAAGTGCATGAGCGGAATGATTGATGCGTTGTTGAACAATACAGATGCAGCAGATGGCAAGAACGGATACAAGTTATATTACATCGCGACTGAACATCTGAATCCGCGTCTAATGTTGCTGGAGTAAGGTGAATGGACAGATGTGCTCATTAACACGACTCTTCAATATCAGTTTCATGTCCAGTCGTTCGAGATTTCTTATTTCAGCTACAGACAGGCGGAAATAATTATAATAATCAGCGACCTTAAGGGATAAGAAATAGCTCAAAAATCAATCTCATTTATTACACCAGAATTTATTACGGAAAATTGTTAAAATTGTTGCAAAATATCAAGTCGTTCGCCTTTCTTTGCATTGTGACTGATGAAATGAGGGTTTCGTTGAAGGATAATACCATGATACTGGTTTCAAGATGGCGGCAAGCCCGTCGTTGACGTCCCAAGACGTCTATGACTGTAAAAATATCCGACCAATCCCTCAAGACTTTTATACGCTCGACGCAAAGTATTTCCGAGCCTAAGATACGTCACAGTAGCAGTGAAAGTGAAGACTGGTGGTGGCAAGGTGGGAGCATTGCGTCTTATGTGCTGTCTCTTAGCGGTCACCTCCTCCCACCCTCTTCCTCGGTTGGCTGGTACGACCCGCACGGATAACGAAGCTCGAAGTTATCTAGCTACAAGTCTTTTGCAGAAATACAAAGTCCAATGGCAGTAGCTGCGTTGACCCTCGGGTCAGCGTACGTCGTTCACCTTTATACACACAGACAAAGCAGTTCAGTTGCTGAGGTCTGGCGGCCACATTATGCGCTCTACGGGCAGTCGGATGGGCAAACCGTCATTGATTAGTTCTGGAGCACATTTGTCTTTGAATCGAACAAGGTCATTCGTTACTTTCAATAAGTACAATAGCAGCAAAATTAAGGAGTTCTAAATGATATCCACTATGCCACGGTAGTCTAGCGGTTAGAACGCTGGCTGTAATCCTGGGGTCGCGGGTTCGATTCCCGACGGTTCCCGAATTTATAACTTGTGTTGGGCAAGGCCGTGATCTAGGCAACACGGAGTTTTCCTCCGGGGCTTCCCCGGTTTCTCCGTGGCATCGCAACAATTACTCCATTCACACACAGAAGAAGGCAATGGCAAACCACTTCTGGATCATCTGCCAAGAACGTATATGAACAGGTCCCAGTCCGAGAAAAGGATGGAAGGATCCTGTTCATAATACGTCGCCAAGACGGCGTAATAAAGAAGAAGAAGAAATGATATCTCCCTAAGTACTCGTAGAAGCAAGTCCCCTCGACCGGGCCATTGAAGGGTTCATGCATTGTCTTCTCGTCGTCTGATAGACGCTTCACAAAGCAATACGAATACTAAAGATGTGGGTCATCTGGGATACGACGTCGTGTGGCCTTGTAGGTAGATACATAAACGTTTAGGAGGTACACACTGCCTCAATTTTCAGCACTCCATATGGCGACAGTCCCTTCTACCAAAATGTTTGTAGGCTCTATCTAACTATCTGCATGTCCACACGGAATCAAAACTCAGAAGACCAGCGCAGGCCGTCCGCGCGCCACTGTTGCCCTCGGGAGGGGAGCAGGTTACTGCACCTTGCTTTAGTTATCGAGTGGGTACACACTGAGCATGGCCGATCCACCGCCGTATTTCTATTACGCATTCAAATCACGTAATGGACGGTTTATTATATAACAAACAGACGCGTTCAGTTGTTTCAGACAAGTTACCTAGTTATTCAAAATGTCCGGAGCTCGACTGCGGCACGCGATTGTTTCGTCGTAAGTACACTGTTCAGGACTGTCGATCCCTCGATACGCATACCTATATGCCGGATAACAGGACGTCGAAGGGAAAATTCCAGACATTCCTAACTTCCTAACCACGGCGCCTGATGAAGGTGGGTGGTCAGTAGTTGGAGACAACTGGGCTAATGATATTTACATAAACTGGGGTCGTCCGGCTCAGGATATGGGGCCAGTGGCGCGGTTATGTGAAGACGGGAAATGTATTAAATAATTTATGGCCTATCATCTTCTCAAATCGAACAACATTTTTGTAAAACGTGGTCAATGAGAGCTGCAATACCGACTATTCTGTTTGAGTGTGGACGTGCAAACCGTTAGTGAAGACGGGATGACATTTTTCAGGGCAAAGCTGACGTCTTCATGAGCCCCCCCCCCGGGCAATTTACAAGTGCAAATTAAAAGTCCGCATTAATTGTTACTGTCACTCCTGGCGACGGACCCTGCCCCTGCAAGCCGGTCTGTCAACACCGCGACAATTTGAATTCGCTGCAACTGGGTTATTTTCTGATAACACGGCTTAACACGTGTTCGCCTCGCAGAATCCATCAGCAGTAATAACGTTTATCAGAATATTTCGACTACAAACTTTAACTCAGATGGTTCAGTGTCTCCTAAGGGCCCTTTGTCCATCCCTCAAATGACGAAGAAGTTAAATGGCCCTTAGGAAACAGGTCCGACATTCCTGTACTACGTGAACGATATAATCGATTCAAAGCGTTAATCGACTGTCCGTGTTACTTATAGCCAGTGAAAGTCGCCCTAGTGTGGCCGAGATGATTGCCCCTTGGGGTCTCGCCCGTATCTTGAGCGACAGAGAAAGCCCGGCTAAACAATGGCCGGTGAAAACAAGAGGGTGAAAAAGTGAATAATGTCATCGTCAGTTTATCGCCACTTTCCCTTCTATGAAGTCCTTGAAAATTCAATCAATCATAAGGACAAATTGAATGGCAAATTATATTCCATTATCGCGTCGCCCCGATTACACGCAATCTGCTACCCCCGTCGTGAAGATGGAATGTAAGAAATTTAAATTTCATTGCTACAAATAGGAAAAAAAACCATATCAACGAAGATAGTAAGGGAATAAAAGAGAGAGAAGAAAATTAAAATAAAAGCGGAGAAATTGAAATAAATAAATAGAAAACAATTAAAATATAAATGTAAAATAAACGTGGACACGAAATAGAACAGAACACAAATGTGAAATAAAGCAAAGTTAATTAAATGAAGGCCACTAAATAATAGATTCATTTATTACCTGTCGTCAAGGATAAGTGGCCGAATTGTCGCGAGGCCAAAATGGACGACGATGAAATCGGTAATTCCCGTGAAGTTCCTCGCGCAAAACCAGAAACGCCTGCGTTCACAAAACGAAGGACATTATTTTATCATGAGGATATTTTCTTTCGGCCCGTGACACAGGGGACTTCTACGGCTGC